GAGTTTTTTCCTTGTAAGAAGTTGTCCAAATTCCGGAAAAAATGGTTATCTGTTGGAGCAAGGTCCGGGGAGTACGGTGGATGTCGTAGACATTCTAATAGTAGCTCATCTAACTTAGTGGTTGTTTGTTGTGCAGTGTGTGGTCTTGCGTTGTCGTGAAGCAGCAGTGACCTAAAGCGATTGACCAATCTCGGTTATTTAACAGCCGGTTCTTCCTTCATGGTTTACAGTTGCAGATATCTGCCGTAATCGTTTGGCCAGATTTTAGAAAGCTGTAGTGAACTACACCGGCGCTATTGCACCAAAAACTCAAAAATAGTCTCCAGGGTTCAGCCATTGCGACGAGCGTTTTCGATTATCGTATAATATCCATTTATCATCACAAGTAATGATTCGATTTTAAATCCCTTCATTTTTGTGTCAGTTGAGTACAGCAGTCAACGCGTGTTTGTAAATTCGATTCTCTCATTCATGAGGTACCCATTGTTCAAGTTTTTTTGACTGAATTAATCATTATTCCATTGTGTCTTTAGGTGAAATTATTACACTAACATATTTTGATAGTCATATTTCAATAGGGTTTATTCCTGATATTATTACTTTACATAATGTATATAAATTTTTATGTAAATATACATTTTAAATATTTCAGGGAAATAAGGGTTTGTTTGAAATACATACTTATAAAACTATTTAAACGTATTTGTTACAAATATATTCTTACTAAGATATTTTTAACAAAGCCTTATATTATATACAAAGTAATAAAAGGAGTTTAAAATAAATACCTGATTAAAACTTAATTAATAATAGATTGGTATTTTTTTTTATAAAGAATAAATATGCCTCTAATAAGTAAAAGTGTGGTGGCGGTGTAAGAGAACACAAACCCGTATCGTCCCGTAGGTCTCGTGAAAAGCGAATATGGGTAATATCAGAAATATATCATCGATAGATGGCGCTTAATTTAAAGTAAATTGTTTGTTTCGTTTTCTTTTTTTAAAGAATATTAACAATGCTATAAACATTACTAATATTCCCCTTAACCACTCGTGGTAAGCTTAAACTGCTTGTGTTACGAGTGGTTCGCGCCAGTAGTCGAATGGCGGATTCGAACCCACGACCTTTTTGAGTTCGCGGTCCGCGCCTTGCCATTAGGCTACTGACGATAGGAAGTTAAAGCACAGATTATAATATACGTTCCGATCCTGGGCACATGTATTTTTTCATTATTTCTGAGGGGTTCAAGTGCTAGAAAATGTCCGCCGCGCTGTCTTTCCTCGAAATATATTTTTTTTATTATTTCTCAAAGATGCAGGTTTCCTCACGATGTTTTCTTCACCCCCGAGCACGTAGCACTTAAATTTACAATTAAAGTTTAGGACGGGTTTCGAACTCGAGTAGTTCGCGTACTATGAATTTTCAGTGAGCGCTTAACCCATGATCTACCGTGGTTAGATGGCGGCACAACAATATTATTAACGTGTAGACGTATAATAAACATTTATCGCAACATACCGACACCAACGAGAACTGCCATTGTCAATTCTCCCTATAACAGGGGTCGCGAACCTTTATGTATCAACGTGCCTTTTTTTTTAAATGTTTAATTAGCTTTTATACGTGCCGTATAATAATTTTGACTTCGTGATTATGCGGAAAATAATAGTACCAAATACTATCGACTCAAAACTATTTATTTACTACAAAAAATAAATAAAGAGTTTGAGTTGAGACATTTATTATTATATTACATTGCAGAATACATTCTGCAATGTATAATAATAAATTTTTCAGTTATATGCGTTATTCAAATAAAAGTAACATTAGTGTGACTTCTGTTGTTGTAGATTAGATGACAAATAACTTATTGTGATGATATAAAAAATGTAGCAATTAACTTGATAATTGAGATGGGACTTGTTTCCGAACTTGATAAAAGGATTGGAGGCTAAGAACTGGGGACGAACGGCGGAGAGAGGTTCGCGACGAGTGGTGAGAGAATAAATAATAGTACTACGTAGCGGTAATTCTTTTCAGACATTTGTAGTTTAAATGCGTATAGGTTTGCTTAAATATATTAAAACTGTGTATCAGTGAACCTTATATATTTTAAATAGAAGCTTATATTCGTGGAACGTTAATTTTACAAGTGCAACGGGGTAAGTGTTTAATGTTATACGTTGTTTCGTGGTCTGAAAAATTCTGAAACAATATTCTTAGATTACGAAATTATTTCTGTTTATGAAAACACCCATTAAGTTAATTGTGACAATGACGCCTTCCTACATCTCTGATATAAAGTGTTATCAGTAAAATTTATTTGTCTCAAAAGATGAAAACATTGAAATATAATACTATATCCTTAATTGAAACGCGCCGTTGTCGACGAGTACAGCTTATTACTTAGAGCAACAATACATGCATCGGGCGAACTCCTATTAGAATAGTATTTAGTTTTTTATTATTTTCCCCTTTTCCTTTTTATAATTCATATAATTTTATGATGAATTTTATGCTCTTATATACAAAATAAAGGAACTAATATTAAATTTTATGTTTCGTTGCATGTAGTTTTATTTTGCAGTTATTGTGTAGATTTAGATTTAGCTAAATATTAAGTGATTACCTATTTTAGCGCTAAGATTAATGTAGATTATGCTTAAGAGTTATCTAGTTGTTTGTTTTGTAGTGTCTTTATATATATATATATATATATATATATATATATATATATATATATATATATATATAGTGCCCTATATGTTTCTAATAAATATCTTACACATTCACACATTTGTTTCTTGTCTTACCCGGACCCCGACCCCCATGGCTTGAGTATTCCATGACATTATATTGGGTTTGCAAAATCCTATAATATATATAGTACAATAATCCTATAATATAATATAGTACAAATGAATTTTTAAATACGGTTGTGCCACCGAAATTGACTTTTATGTTATGCGTAAACGAACTATGCATTCCTTGGAGGAGGTGTGGACTTTTAGAGGGTTGTAACGATGATGATGATGATGAAGCAAACTCTGCGTCATTAGTAACGTCCATGATGTAACTAGCGTTCGTTCGTAATATAATAAATACTTTATAGTGAACTTTGTGATCGGTTGCGTGCAAAAAGTATTGTATCGCGTGTCATTGGTTCGCCATCCTGCCCTACAACATGCCCAAGTCCAGCTGTGGACTTTTGCATGATGATGGTGCTAAATGAATGCTATAAGAACTGGGTCTTTATGAATTATTTATCAAAATCGATTCTCAATTCGTAATTTAATGCGTTCATTGATGAAATTTCAAGTAAGACTTAAATTTTTAGGTCAAGCCCGCTTTTAAGTAGGATCAAGGATGAATTTAAATAAGCTTTCAACAACATGTCATTGAGAATTGTATAAATATTAATGCTTTGCGTATGGCAGGCTAATGGTTATGAATTACCTAAGAGAGAAAAACTTTAATAATAAACATCTAGATTTAATGTGTCTTCGATGAATTTTCGTACTGTCTATCTATATTAATTGTTTACATTCAGCAAAAGCTTATTCCTTTTGTTTGCTTGCGCTAATATTAAACTTTCCGATCATTATTGATGCCGCCATTAACTCGCTGTCAGTCAAACTGGCCCGTTGTTGTTTGCAATATAAGTACGTAACTTTGTTATAAATTAATCGTTTTTTTCCCGATATTTTATGTATTTTTATACTTCAGTAAGGAAAAACTGTCTTAATTAATGATTTAAAAAAAGTGGCCTCCAAAACAATATTTAAGGAAAGTATTAAATCCCACCCGAGCGTAAATTGTTTTATTAAAATGGTTTTAGACTTTTAAAACAAATTAAAAATTGATACAATGTTATTTCCTATAATGAATGTAAAAATATGTTTCTCCTTTACACCTTAATTATTTCAAAAACCAAATAAGGCAACAAAAACAATGTTATATATTACACTATCTTAGTTATCAGCGGTAGCAACGCATCTGTCATCTAACTGGGCTACATTAGCCACTTATGCTCAGGTGAGCTGTAAGTTTTTGTTACTTCGGTTTCATAAAAAATGTTCAGTAACGATCAGATTGCACCCCTTTGCGTTTTCTATCGTATTTACTATCGTCTATCCTCGTCACGGAACATAATCCCAGTTAGCCTCTCTGGTCATCTGAGGCGACTGGGACTCCGTGACGGACCGCTCCGGGCTCAAATGCAGAAGGCGGTGCTCCTCGATTCCGCCCGCATCGTCCGCCGGTTTCTTTCTCTTTCACCCTAACCCTTGGCCGTTTGGTCTCCCCTACCGAGGGCTTCCATCTGGTTGAGCTTTTATTTATTTATGTGTTTTTGTATTTGTTTTGTTTTATTGATATTTATGTATATTTGTCTTTTCATTTTCGTTTATAATTATATATTTATACATCCCAACCAGATGAGAAAACTGTATTTACTATTATTATTATCGTGTTCGAAATTGTGCGGATTAGTTTCAGCCGCCAAATTTCGTGAACGCACTACACGTCAAACGTCCCGATACCATCCACACCATCTGGATGCTTGGCGGTCCACCACTGTACGTTTCAAAAGGAGTTTTCTTCCGCGTACAACCTCTCTGTGGAATAATTTACCACCGGTGATTTTTCCGGACCGATACGACCTGGGGAGCTTCAAGAAAAGAGCTTACTCCTTTCTAAAGGGCCGGCAACGCACCTGCAATTCCCCTGGTGTTGCGGTTGATCATGGGCGGCGGTATTCACTTAACATCAGGTGAGCCGCATGCTCGTTTGCCCGGTCTTCTATAAAAAAAAGATTACAAAAGAGCAACTTCAATATTTAGATATGTATTTCCCTTACAATATGCTATTTGCAACCAAGATATTTGGATCTTCACGGATTCAAAACTTTGGATGAAACCGAAACTACAAGCCAAATGTATTTTTTATTACTTTATCACATTAGTATTTAAATTACACTCAATTTTATTTCTTTATTTCAGAATTGAATGCAGTTAAAATAGTGAAAATAGTAGTGCCAGAAATAATACAGTACGGTGTGCAAGACGCTGTGATTCTAGACTGTGACTATACTTACGGTAACAACACATCGGGACTAGTAGTGAAGTGGTTTTTCAAAAACAAAGCTAGACCTGTCTACCAATGGATCGTGTCGCAAAAGCCACAGGACATGGGGATATTGAGAGGTCGTGTTGACTTAGCCTACAGAGCATCAAGCGATCCATTAAAAATGCACAGAGCACTCCGCATAGTGAAGCCCAACACCGACATCTCTGGTGATTACACGTGTGTCGTTTCAACATTTATGGAAGAGGATTCAAGAACTAAGCAAATGATTGTTTTTGGTAAGTAACTTTGTTAAGCTCGTTAAAATATGTCAAATATTTGAAAAAAACCAGACATATGATGTAGCTCTTTACGTTGAAAATTAAACTTTATAACTATTGAACTTAATGATATCTTATATTTATGCGAACACTGCACATTTAAATAAAACTTATTTTTACGGATTATATCGCGTATATTAACTTGTTTTATATTCCTGACGTTTTGAAAACTTTACAGAACCCATGGTCACGTGGGTGGAGAGGGACTGGGGTGTTCGACTTCCCAATCTCATAGTTAACCCCGGCTGCCTCCAGATTAAAATGAGTAATTTTGTTCTATTAAAACTTTAAAACCGTCTTATAAAAGTTTTCGTGTTGAAGTATATTCCTATGAGTAAGACGCGTTTTTGCACTATTTTATTAAATTATATTTGTATTATACGGCTTAATTTAATGTACGACGCATTTGACTTAATACTGGGTTCTTACATATGAAATTAGCGTTTTGTCGTACTGGTCCCTTTGCTCTGAAATAACTCTTTGGTTAATAATTCCAAATTCAAATTTTTAAATTCATTAAGCTGGTACATTTGAGTTTGGTAACCCGTAGAGTCGAGCAGCCTACACATGTGTACCAGACATAAACATCTTACGCTCGCTCGATCAAGATACACATGTGTACCACAAGTACTACCCTTTGAAAAAGAATTTTTTTAATTAAAACAAAACCAAAGACACTATGCAATAGATAATAGTATCAAAGACAAAGATATGCTCTTTTATTTTAAACCATAACCTGGCTATGTTTCTAAGAAAAAAAAAAAGAAATCACTCTGAACTTTCGGCGTTCCACGTGTCGCTTTGATGAAGGTGCTCCGTCTTTTTTATAGAATTTTATATTTGTGTCTGGACTAAAAACGAAAGTATATTATACTTTTTTATATTCCCTGTAATAGAGTAAACACGTAGATATATAATTTGTGGTATAAAAAGTGAAAAGTAAATTGCCAAAAGTACTTCGAAATACGGAACGCCCATTTTGGCGGTTGGGTCATAAATGTGTTATTTTTCCAATTCTCATTTATTTTTAGTGTAAAATGTAAGTAAAAATAGTTTTCTTACATATTTCAAATAACTTGACGTTGTATTTATTTCAAATTCACACAAAAATATTTTTGAAATATTGTTCGAAATGTCATACAGATAAATATTATTATTTTTTTTTTTAATATTTTAATATTTTGGTATGAGTAACGAATAGAAACACATAAAACATAAAAATATACATATTTCCAAACATTTTCATATAAATTTCTCCAAAAACAAAAGTGTAGAATTCAAATTAGTAGTAATTTTGGCACTAAAAGTGAAGTATATACTACTACTATGCTATAAATGGTAATTTATGAATTTTATTATAATTTCTAGCAACCAAAATAATTTTATTCAATAGTTTATACATTCAACAAAAATTCCTGTAAGTTTTATCCATAAATATTGTCTCAAAGTGAAAATATAGCAAAATTTGCATTATAGCAAAACATTTGCTAATTTGCAAATTTTCCCGCCATTTAAACAGTCATTCATTTGTTTTTTTCTCATTGTTTTTTTATTTGGCGTCGCTTATTACCGCACATTGTAAAACATGAAATATCGGTATATTTACGATTACGAGTTCTAATGTGGCACCAGTGCTGCAGAAACAGCTCAAAAGATTAATGATGTGTACGGCGCTGGTTATGCAAAAGAAAGCATGGTACGTCTTTGGTTTTAAATGTTTTCGTTATGGAAATTTCGACCTTCAAAAACAACCCCGTAGACGGTTGGAAACGAAAGTGGAAAATGAAGATTTGAAGGCTATTATGGAAGCGGATCCATCACATGGCACTTCAGAGATAGCTGCAGGCTTCGGGGTAAGTGACAAAACTGTATTAATCCACTTGAAGTAAATCAGGAAAGTAACAGTGCAGTTTATCATCGGCCACAATAACCACATCACATAAGGGGGACTGTGAGCTCATTTTCTCACTGTACTAATAATTATATTAGGTATACGTTCGTAAATTTTGCCCCCTTTTCATGGGGAAATGTCCACCCGTACCTGCCTCGCGGTGATTATGATGGAACCCGACTAGAACCAACTACTTGATTTCCATCTGGTTATAGAATACTCCCCCTACCTGAGAATTCCCGAACTGGGTTGGCTACCGCAGTTTTGTTATTGAATAATTGCTGTTATCAGGAAGATGGTGCTGCCCATCTCCTGCCTGTTTCCCTCTGTCGCCTCTTACGACACCCACGGGAAGATGGGTGCCCAAACAGCAACGTAATAATTGTTAATATTTATTTCTTTTAATACGCTTTATTAGAAGTTAAATTATAAAGTCGCAATTTTTTTATTGGACACACTTTTATTCTTACAAAGTATATATTTACGTAATCAAAATATTGAGTATTAATATCTGGATGGATGGAAATAGACAGAATAGTAGGACATATGGTTTCTAGCTGCAGATCTTGTGATTTGAAAATAGGTTATGTACCAATGTGGGGTTTGCGTTAACATGGAGCAATAATGGTGAGTATCGATTGACGAGATGAGTTATTTATTGAGATTTGGGTCAAGATTATAGTACACCAGATCTCAAACGCGTGCTTCTGTATGCACTTAGTTGACATGAGGCACCTATTTCTTGATTTTTTAAAATAAAAAATGGCTTGGTTGTTTTTTAGGATCGGCATTAACAAGTACATTTAATTCATAGTTATTTATAACTATTAACTATTTATTATCGTAATACCTGTTCTGCCTCGTGGTTCATTCTTGAAGTCAAAATTTCAAATACAAAAGCGATTAAAGCAAAAACGCACAGTGCAGACTCTTTAGTCGAATCCCCTCCATGCGCAGCATTGATATAGCGAGCTGTCCCTGCTGTATTAGAACCTCATCGGAACTCGTATACAAAAATAACTTTTATTTTTTTTCGTATACAAAATACTGTCTCGTATATATAAATACTCGTATACAAAAATAACATTTTAACTCAAATTCTGTATTCATGTAATCAAATAATATAAGGTCATTTAACTTTTGGATTGAGATTGATATTATTATTGTGCAAAAAAAGTTTTGATCGGGTATCTTATTCCATACCGGTTTAATTTAAATTCACAGTAGCTACTACATTAAAACTGCAACTTGACAATTTAACTCATATTATTAAGAAAAACATTGCTGACTTAATGCCAATAATAACAAGTAAATTAATATCAGTTACCAGTATGTTTATATTATTTAAAAATGAAAGTTATATGAGCGTTAACTTAAAATGCGATTAAATTAAAAAAATATAACAAGAAAACATTTTGGAGTATACTCCTGTTTTGGACTATGCTTTATAAAGTAGATTTTTTAGATTTGAAGTCGCTTAATAGAGAATTTGCTATCTGCTACGCATCTCCTTTTACGTTTAAGACATTCGTAAGGCAGTCGGGGGAAACGAATCAGGCCAGCTTATCTTTACGGATGGCGTGTCCAATCAAGATTGTTTTTAAATTAGGATCAACATGAACGTGCCCAATATATTTTTCTATTTAGGGAATGAATAAAAACGAAGTCTTAAATATAATATTGTCAGCAACTCGGATTCGATCTCTGCCACCGTCAATCAAATTGATATTTGCAAATTTAATCGCTGATTTACCGCTTGCTCTGTGGTGAAGGAAATAAAATATTTCGAAGATCTTTAAAGTTCTGGTTCAGCAGGGACTATTGTAAGGCATTTCTGATTTAATCATGATGTAAAATACTCAGACCCGTTGATGAAGAGCTACGTCGTAAGAACGATTTGTTTTAATAATGATTTCTTATGTTTACGCGAACACAAAGTACACGTTTAAATAAAATTATATTTTACGGATTTCATCGCGTATATTAACTTATTTTATATATGAGATGTTCCGAGTACTTAATAAATCCCATAGTAGCCCCCCCCTCCCCGAGTCATCATGGCTTACAGGCTAACCTAACATTCACTGCAACCTAATCATTTCACTGTCCCTTGAGTTATGCTCATATAAATATGAACATTTCGATCGTTTAACTCTTGTGTTTTTTTCGCTGGCTTAATATACGCGCTAAAATCCGTAAAATCTAGTTTTATTTAAATAAGATTTGTGTTAGTAAATACAAGTGATAAACGAAGTTACAATCTACCAACCTGATGGTGGCTGGTGAAGTGGCTACCGCAGCACCTGGACACCTGCAACTCACTGCAAATAAAGAGGGCTACGGACGCCTTGTAATTGTCATTTATGTAGACTGAGATGGAATGCCTTACAGCCTGTAATTGTATCGGCTCTATCTCTATTCCCTTCCAGAACATGAAACGTGGCTGCTAGCAAAAGTATTTTCTACTGAAAAGGCCGAGGTTTAATTAAGGAGTGTAAAGCTTACAGGCTAATCATATCATGGTCCCTTGAGTCGTACTCGTATAAATATGAACATTTCGATCGTTTAACTTTAACTCTTGTGTTTTTTTCGCTGACAGGGAAATTGTTAAGAACATAAAGCTTTTAGCGTTCTGAACGTAAAATTAAATTTTGTAGAACGTAAGTAATGATCCTGTATTAATCGTACTGGAATTTATGCGGTGAAACTCCAAGTCAAATTTCATTCAATAGTTACTCGAGGTTATCCAATAATATATTTCTTGTGAAGGGTTTAGCGGTATCGTATAATAGGCCCGGTGTGGGTGAAAAGTTTGAAATATAATTTTGGAAATTGTCCGCCTTTGAATTATATATATATATAGAATACTATTCTGTTCATTCACCCAAATTCCATCTGGCTACGAAACGGTTACAGCTTTTTTCGAAGCATGAAATCGATCGCTTTTTGTATTAGTAGGTTTAATTTATTCGAAAATTGAAAATGAAGCAAATTGAGAAAATAAAGTTACAATTTTCAAATAAAAACCTTTTAAAAACTTACAAAGGATTTATTGATTTAACAAAAATTAAACAA